ATACACAGCCATCAATTAGGGATTCGGGTTCGCCTTCTCCAGGTGTTCCATTTTCATTGCAAGAGCATATTGAAGCTTCTACAATAAATGGAGAAACCTACAACAATAAGCTGCCTCCGAGTGCAGTCTGATGAGTAGCTGTTTCACATAGGAAATATTATATACTCGGATGAGTTGATCTTTAATGTCGATAGACGAGCACTGAGTATTTAGGTTTTTTTGGATGTTCATGTGGTAGGTAACCACTGCTGGCCACCTGACTACACAAGCAGCTGTAATATGAAAAACATTAATTTGATTTAGTTTAATAAAATGCAAATTTTTCATAAAATTTTTTTGTATAATATATTCTTATAAGATTTATGACTCTTGTGCTTGTATAAAAACATATTCTAGATTGTGATATTAGCAATTGAATTGTTGACACCACACTGTAATATGCAAATTCGAGAAAAAGTCACATTCAAAGCCTTTAAGCTCGAAAGCGATTCAGTATGTTTTCTTTTCAGCTGCTGAAAATTTTAAATTGAAGCTTCTTTACAAACGATGTGAGTATGTACAATCACACATATGTAATGTACTTCGATATCTTCACGCAGCAGAAGCATAACAGGTCCTTTGTTTGTGAATGAAGTAAAGAAACCAGAAAATTCAAATGGTATGAGTGGCGCCACAAGAGCTCAAAGTGAGTTTTGCTGAGCACCTTTTTTACGTGGATTTACATTTTTTCCGACATACACACGCTTTGCGCTGATACATGAGTGGGTGAATACTCTCATGTTAATATGTGTATACCCACTACATGTGAATTGGTGTAAAATACCTTTTGTTAGGTCTCAGCTGTGTGCTGCGTGCCACACAGTTGTTTACATGCAAAACGGCAACGTTTTAAAGCTAAGAGGAAAAGAAATCCAGCTTCTTGTGTTATTTCATCGCCATCTACATACATTTTCTTCGATTGGAAGAAGCCCCTGCTGTGCATATTTGGGAACGACAGTTGGGCAATTTTAAAGTGTAACGGTAAAGCCTAAAATATGAAAACGCTTTTCATTTTGTTGTTCTCAGGTTTCTCAAAACAGAGTACGTGAGCGAGTGTGTGCGCTTTGATAATGAAATATGTATGTATTTGTATACACATACATATGTACATGCTGATGGGTGCAAATGGGTTATAAAAGTTTGTCTTTATATCATATTAAGTAGAGCAAATTTGGAAGCCTTCTCAATTCTTCTTTTAGTTCGTATATACACTCATTTCTATGCAGGTATTTTTTTTTTCAAACGTACAAATACACTGTCATTTGCAGACAGTTATGTTCTCCATACTTTTTCCTGTGAAAATTTTAACAAACGAAATTTCTCTCCATAAATGAAGCTCATACATAGCCAACTGCAAAGCTTTTAGCTGCGTGCAAAACAAGTCCTTTTTGTATGTCCTTCATTGCTTTTGTTTGTGAACAAGATTTCAATTTCTTTGCTTGAAAACAATTTTTGTTTTTGAAAGGTTTTGTGTTGAAGTTGTAAGCGAGAGCTTCTTCTTCGAAAATGTTTTTTTTTAAAAAGCTCTTTCAGGGCACTGGGATGTAGAGAATCATAGAACAAAAATGCTAGTGCAGGTAAAATATTTCACAGGCTTAGGAATACGAAATATGACTATAAACGAATTATACCACTGGTTTTTAGATAAGCATACAAGAACTAGGTATAAGAAAAGTTTTAAACCCTGAAATGGTTTGTAAGAAATTTGCATATATATTCTCTCAGACAACTTCCGAGGAATAGAGAATTACCTAAAAATTAGACATACGTGTATTCCGATACAGTACAAGTACACTTAGTCCATTAATCGAGAAAACTAGCTGAATAATTTTCGTTAATTTTTATTTTATTCTTTTCTATTAACTGAAAACGGATACCTGGAAATTGTAGGGGGAACTTTATTAATATAAAAATTGTCATATAACATAAATGGTTAATCACTATGTTTTTCGAATTTTTAACCAAAAATCCGTTCACAAAGATAGCCTTGTATGATAAGATGGTGCGTATTCTGTGAGTATTCCGCGACATTTTCTTTTCCAGTAAAAATCACAACCCTTGATTCTATCCTAATGAATGGCTGAATTCACCAGAACCTACTGTCTCTCATCCTTGAGCCATAGCATTTCCCAGCATACTCAATTTAATACGGGCTTGGTCTAGAGAATAATGTGGAACCTCAAAAACTCCGTAGCACCGAAGACGCTATTCCTGTTGTGGAGCGACTATCAAACCACCATCTCACGCAACAACCATCAAACCCGGCGAACGTTCGGTGTCTGGGTCCGAAATGGGCTGAGATAAGATTAGCTCTGAAGCTCACATTTAGTTGAATGGGTACGTTAATAAATAAAACTACTGCATTTGGAGATATGATAGTCCACAAGCCAATGTGGAGGCGCCTTTAGATCCTCAAAAAATCGATGTATTGTATGCCTATGGCCTCAAGGAACGCGCGAGTTAATACAGTTAATACCGTAAAACCAGAGACGATGGACGACTTGGTAGAGAATATTTGGCATCATATCGCTGACTTATGGGCCCACTTACTGCAAAAAATTGGGTCTCTCGTCTGGAAATGGTTCGAGCCAGCCGCGGCATTTGCTTGCCCGAAATAATTGTTGAAGCAGATTCACAAACTTTTAAATTAAATGCATAATAAAGATAAATTCTAGCTCATAACATCAAATTACATCCGTTTTATTTTCCCTTTAAAACCACATATCTTAAAAACACCTTTTACATATAATAATAATGGAGCTGTAGTTTATTTCTCAAGAAGACATATTTTGTTTGAGTTGCCTTGAGTTGAGTTGAGTTGATGCGGCTGCTGGTCAAACCCAGCACACTTAGGCACCATTTGGGCCAGCGCTCAGCGCTCCTGCCTTCATCTTCTCAAATGATCGAAAAATTTCTTGTGCCTTATAAAGACAACGAGATTTTTAAAGCTCGCTGAGGCCAACTCGAAGAACTGTTTCCCAATAAACTTTTGTCGCGTGAATGTCAAGGCTGGACAGTGGCAGTGGTAGTTTTCGATGGTCTCCTCCTCTTCTTCGTCCCTACAGCCGCTGCAAAAATCGCTAGAGAATAGCCATCATTTTCCCGTTAATCCCCTTTAATCAGTGTCCAGTTATTGTACCAGTCGTTATGTTAATGGAGAACCGGTCCAGAAGGATAAGATGTTTATATTGCTTTGCGTCCAATTTTGGCCATAGCTATTTGGTCACGTTACACGTGTTCTCGGTCAACCATCGCGAGTCAGCTTCCCTGGTGAAGGCCAGTTTAAGCTTGTTCTTTGCCATAGACAGAGGTAAACCAGCATTATGTATATGTTTTACCATAGATAGAACGGTTCCTTCCCTTGCCAGTTCGTCTGCCATGCAATTGCCTGAGATATCCTTGCATCCATGCACCTAGTCCACGGCTCTACTGTACTTCGTTGAAAGTTTGTTAAGAGTGTTTCTACAGTTGATGGTCACTCTTGAAAAGTGATAGCGTTTCATTGGAAAGATTTGATTGCAGCCTGACTATCGAAGTAAATTGTAACCAATTGTCCTGCTGCCGTGGATTTGTGCGAAGAGTTCCGCCTCCGGGTTTCTCATACTCATGCTTAATGAAAGCACGAGAGAATAAATTCCGCAAACTTCGAGCCGTCTGTCGAGGTGGCTATTGTTCCCTAGTTGGGAGCGTTGGTGCTTTGCCACTCGCATCTGTTTGGGATTCTCGTGGAGAAAAGATTATCGAAGCATACACTGTAGGTGGTGTAGTCCACCTCCTTCGGCACTTCTGTAATAGATAATATTTTTGTATGTCCTATATTACAATTCTTCCAAGGTTGAGTTGCATTCAATCTTATTGCGTTGCAACCCGCTTGTAGTTTCCCGTATATATTCAGAAAAGGGAGATTGAGAAGAGTTAGTAGTGCTTTCAAGGGAGTTTATGGCAGTCCTTTCCAGGGAGTTGATGGCAGTCCTTTTGAGGGAGTTGCTGGCGATGCTACCGTTATCAGGAACGACGCCGATCGTTGATCTCTCCCTAAGGCATGCGGTTTGTACCTCCTAGTAAATAAAACCATCTTGGTTTTGTCAGGGTTTACTTCTAAATTGCTATCTCTGCACCATCTCCCATCTATAGCAAGAGCTTCTTGGAGTAAATCACTTAATGTTTGTAGGTGTCAGGGCAAAGGCATCAGCGAATATCACAACGCCACAACCTGTCTTACGAGGTTTTCTAACCAGCGTATTTGTTGCTAATCACCACTGCAGTGGCGATAAAACTCCAAACAGGGATTTCTCTTGTTGTGTGTCAGGCAACGCTGGCGCTGCCCATCTCCGTGAAGATGATCCTGTTCCTCAGAAGACACTCTATAGATTCACTAGGGGCTGTTGAAGGGCCATTTCCTGAAGAGAACTGGGTGGTATTTTTTGCCTATATTTTCAATAAATCTTAAATTTTTTTAAACCATTTTTGTGTGTACGACAAAACGCAAAAGGATCCTTTATAGAATTATGAGATAGCGGAGGTGGGAACAACCACACATAAAAAACCTAACTCACCTTGAGTACATAGCTAGATTATCCAATTAGCAACCGAGTTACTACATATATATATAAACATAAAAGCAGAAACATGTCAAATACATTATATCTCTTTTTATGTTGAAAACGTAACGTTATTTTGTTTTTAATGTGATAATAGGGGCACACCGAGAGAACTCATGATGTTGCCTTGTCACTAAAATCATTCTGCATTGGAAATGAAGTTGTCTGAGCTCTGACCTTTGCAATTGTAGGCAGTCTTTTGCCTTTTTGCGTTGTTATTTTTCGAGAATGTGTGTTTTCAGCTCATCTAAAATGGAAATTATTTTTTACACAACAACTCATGAATGCATTATTTAACGCGACCTTTTTGGCGTTCTACTGAACCAATTCTTTTCTTTTTTTTAATTTAATTTAAATTAACTAATAAATCGAGTCTTCCTTTGCTGTGTCGAAAGTTATTCACGAAGAAGAATCTGCAGCTACACATTTAATTTTTACAACCAATTTTACATATATACGTATGTGCTCCAATGCGTCTCCCGAACACATCTGTAGCGATGGATGATAAGCCTGCCTTTGTGAAAAAGCCTGTGCAGAAAAGTTTTTTTAATTATGCGATGACGACCAAGCGATGGCACAGAATCGCTCCAGTTACATCAGTTGCCAATGAAACGGGCGAGGATGTCGTGCTATTCTTTATGGTGATCTTTATTGCCATTACGACCAGTACAGGTGAGTCGTAAGAATCCTCTTTTCATATTCGTATATTTGTAAATGCTTACAAACTCATGTACATCGGTTAATATGAAAATACAGACTTATTTTAATATATACATAAGTGTACTCGTACTTATATATATATGTAAAAACATTTGTATTCATGTTTGGTTGTGAAAAAATTACAAGGAATGCAATTATTATTTAAGTTGATAAATGAAATTCATGTTTTTGCGGTTGCTACGGCACTCAGTTTGGCATTTAATATGTAGTCTATATTTTTATACCCAATCACACTTGCATTGGTTATAATAACTCTGTATGTGAACTGGTAAATTATAGATGCTAAAGGTAATCAAGAAAAATGGAGAGCGAAAGCATACTAAAAAGTTCTCCATTATTTTTGCTCTAAGATGAAAGCTTTATTTAATGTGCATTTAGACCGGAAAATTTCCCTGTTTTGTCAAGAGCTTTTTCTTGATGACATTAATTTGGGAATTTGGCCGTAGAGGAGCAGCACAAGAAATAACTCATGGTTGTTTATCCATGATCGTTTTCATTACAATAAGTGCATCACCAGTTACCGCTGGCTTCTGAAGGGGCCGATTTTTATGCGATTCACCTGCTATTCCATACGTCGAGCTTCTTTGTATATCCAACATTACTTAAGAGCTGTCAAGCTGTAAATCTATGATGACCTACTGAGTTAAGTGGTCAACACTTATTCTATTACCTTTTTTCGTTCAAGATATCTCTTTAAAGCGTCGTAATTAGATCGCGATTTCACAGTATGAAATCTTAATTTGAGTAGATAGAACGATTGATTGAGCATAATGTCTAAATATCGTTTCATGTACAATTTACTTACTGATAGCCTTCACACTCAAATGATTTTCCAATATTTTCTATCGAATGAAGTAAAGAGCACCGATTGTCTCGAACGGCGTAGAATCGATGATTCATTGGGATATACAGCTGTGCAGCTTTGCAAACATCAAATGAAATCGAATTTATTGAGAAGCCACGTGTCTGATGTTAAGATTGCGTACTGACAGTCTGGCCAGGGTTTGAGCTTAGGTTTGACAAAAATACAATAATATAGAAATTGAATTAAATACATATTTCTTCAAAAAACAGCATGATGATAAGACAAAAAGTTATGATTAGCGAATTTGATTACTGCTGGGATGATGAGTTAGTCTCAGGATTAGAGAAATATATTCTTTTTTTAATCTTCGAATATGTAGAAATTACAAGCATTGGGCATCAAATCGAAAATATTATTACTTTTATAGCACTAAAATTAAGCAATAAGGAGAAAATTAAAGTTTATAAAATAAATAAGGGGAAAGAAGAAATATTAAAATTCATGTGCAAAATCCTTGAAAATGTTACAGCAAGTTAATTGTGAATGAGGCTTTGTCAAACAAAGTGTAATGGAACAATAAAGAGTAAATTCAAACCCCAACTCCAGGCAATATATTGCAGCTGGTTATAAGACACGGGCACACGAATCAGTCTACAAGCTTCAAGATGACATTTTCCAACTTTGTCGAAACCTAAAAATCCGCAGCAAAGACGCCCCTTTAATTGCTTCTGTTTATTTTCGCGGTGGTGTATTCACAAATTTTTTTCCAGAAAATAAGAGTTACTACTTCAATGCAACCGCTTGCAGCCGATACAAAAGGTAAACTAAGTTCTTAGACGAGAGCTCAAATTGATTTCCGAGATGTATTATTCGGAAAGGTACTGCTTTAATATATAATTTATATTTTTTAAGCAGCAGTATCTGTTTCTAGGTTCTTAACTCCTAAATACTAGATATAACATTGGATAAAATATTTGAGATAAGTATTCGGCAAGGCTATCGACGTTACTCTTAAATTAGCCATTAATTTCATACAACTTTCCGATTGACAAACATTTGCTTATTTATGAAATTAACCTAATATATTTGAGTAATAATCACTTGATTAATATAATCAACAAACACTGAAAAATCTATCCAATCACCTTTTCTTTGCCAATAATTTCAACAGTAAAACATTAATTTAACTCCTTCCTTACTTTTTACATACAATATAAGGTGCTGCAGAGTTTTTAAAAACTGTATTTCGTTATTTAGTCTCTTATGTATTTCTACGTTATTTATTTTATTATAACTTCTAAATTATTATGTTAAATTGTTTAAAAGCAAATATCAGGAAAATCCTATTTTTTCTAATCGAGGTATTACTCACCTAAGCAAAATACAAATCCCAAGCGAATAGAACCAAAACTTCTTTTATTTTGGAAAAATATCGAATGCTGATCCACTTCTTGGAACGAAAATTTTTCTAGGAATTAACATAGACAAAAAACCAAACCTTCTGAAGAAAATCTATTTATTGTACTGCACTAATCTGTGCGCTGGGTTATCTACATATGTTCTAAATGTGAGACAATTCGAACTAAAAAACACTTTTTTTCGAAAAGATCAGTCTCTTGTATACTTCCGGGAAAAAATGTATCCTAAGAGCGCTTTAGGCAAATATTATTAATATTAATTTAAAATAGATCGATCCCAGGTACACCTCCAAAAAACTCTATGAGTGGTTCAGTGGGTTAATCCGTCTGTCATTAAGGACAAAGCCTTTTACATGTTACAAAAGTTTATCCGGGACTTCTTTTAATATGGTTCCAATAACGCTTCCCGGAAAATTCTCATTAAATGCATTCGTCTTACGCAGAACATAGCTTCCTACGATTAGTGGATTAGGCTGTGGTTTGATCCGTCACTCATTCAGAAAATAGATTATATATATATTTATCTCTCCAAAATGCGACACAATTTTTGATTCGGAAACCTAATACCTGTTATTTGTAGGTCAATAATTTCGAAAGTCTTTCAAAGACTTAGCAATTATTTATTTTCTCTTCTTCTTTACGACTTAATATGGATAAAATGTACTTCGATTGATCTGAATCTTAAGCATAATACAACCAAACTCTCAAACGGAGAATCATATAAAGTCATTCTAGCGACACATCCTAGTATGTGCCATCAAAAAAGGTATTATGTTGTTAAGCAACGGATTATCTGCATTATTTTATTAATGCGCATTTTTAAGGTTAAATATAATACCACATGTTTCATTAATAATATTGTTTTTTTTTACCGTAACTTGTACTTGAATTATACAAAACAAGAAACTTTGGTGTAACTGCCGGCAGAAAAAAAAAGTGAAACATTACATATTCTCTTACGCGGTTGCCGTATAGTAGATATGCTGGCCAAATAACCAAATATAACGGTTCACTTTAATGCACATTGAACTATGCAATTCAATTGTTCTTAAAATAAAGTCTGTAAAAGTTCACTTTTGTCCTTTTCTCAAAACATAATTCGGTGAGTGTTTTCATGATGGATGAATTTTACTCCCGCTATGGGCAAAAAAAAATTAGAAAATACTATGAATAATGGATTACAACACGAATGAAAGTTCTTTTCAATTGTTTTTGCGGTTTGTATTGTAATTTTGTTATAAGTCAATGAGTTTTAGTTTGAGACCTTTTGCTTTTTCACGAAATGAATATTTTGAGATACAACAAAAAAAGTGGAAGAAGCGACAGCTGTTTCGGAGATTATCATATCTTCCCACCAAACCTCTTCTGGCGGATTCGAAAGAACGGATCCAGACTCAACAGGCTAGCCTACTGAGATAATATCACATATGTAATCTGTTGACGGCATATTCAATTCATTTACTTACTAACAACTACTAAGTGAGCTCATTTTTAGCGGCTAACTATCCAAGAATATGTCTTCATAATTTCAGTGGCCAATTCGAAATATTTAACAAGCTAGAGAAGTTTTATTGGCCGGGCGTCAAGCAGGTTAAAAATTGTTTTTGGGGCCTAAATATAGTACATTACTGTCTGAAATTTCGTTTCATTCAATAAATATCTTTTCTATTCAATAAATAGCAGAAAAAACGATTTTTTCGGGTTCTAATAGAGAAGAAATGTCCGGGAAAATTTCTTACCCAAGTTTTAGACGTTGTAATGAAAAACCTCATGTTAAATTGAATTCTATTAAAGAGAATACTTCGAAATCACACGCAAACAAAAAACTAATGAGCGCATGAGAACAGATCGTTTTTAGGAGCTTTTCCAACATGAATTTCGTTTTTCATCAGTTAAAAGGTACTCACCAAAGCTTCAAGCTATTCAAAACTATTTTGGAAGCGTAGTTTCCTTCTTGATACAATAGTTTAAAGGTATTTTTATTCTCTCTTCGCAGTGGGCTTCATAGCTATCTGACATTCATAAACATGTTTCGTCTTTTTCGTGCTAGTCTCTTCTCTCAAAAATATCTACCTCTTTAAAAATGTTTGTGAAAGATTTTAACAATTTTTAAACTTTTGAACGCCAAGAAAACTATCTACAAAGCAATTTTGTAAGCAGATAGGATACTGTTTGTTTTTGAGAAATTTATTCTAAATATATTGAAATGTGGAAATCTAATTAGCTTGTAAGTTAAGCCTGATCAAGCACACTTAGGCCTAGTGACTCGTGGTAATACCCATGTTTGTTTTCCGAAGATTCTTACACCATTCCAGATTTCCTACCACCAAGTGTGTTTTATGAGCTTCCGGGAGATTAATAATTTCCCCAGATGCAAGATATGCAAGGATATATAAGAAGAAATATCCAGGAAAACATTAGCGGACCGCACTGAGAGCTTTTAGACCGATTCCTGCTCATTTATGTACTTCAGCTACGGTAAAATTCATTTCAGAAGTAGCCCGTGAGTACCCACAACGTAATGTCCGGTTACTATGCCTGTTGTTACGCTTATGAAGGTTTTAATTTTCCCTTGGTTCTTCTGAAGACTAGCCCCGAAAAATTAATAAAAAAAATCGTAAAATTGAATATTTTATAATGGTAAGAACAAACAAGTTTGGGGAAACACGTTTAGTGTCAAAAGCTGCGATATTAAACTACCTGATAGAATTTTGTGTTCTGGTTTTCTT